TACTGGTATTCAAACATTCGCCCGACGATTTGGAAACAAAAGCAACTCTTCATTTCACTCGGTCCGCCCCTTGTCCAAACACCTTTCTCAACAACGAACGATAAATCTGTGTGAGAGCGTTACGCCAGACGCACATTCCCTTCAAGCGTATAGAGAAGCGGCACAAGGACTACATTTCTAATCACCAATGACCTCCTGAACAGAAAGTTTTGTTTATCATTCCATAATACTACTACTCTGAATATTCGTTTTAGAATCCAATCATCATTGGATACCGGCCTCCCTTACGCTATGAACATGGACAAACCCCCTGATGATGAATCCGCCACTCTCAACATTTTACTGTCATATATGAGAGGGCTATGAAATAGTCCATGAGGTTCTTAATCTCTTCCATATAGTCAAAAGAGGTATCCATATGTGTGGAGTCGTCCGCAAACCACGAGCAAACCGGGATCACCTCTTCCGGGACGAAGGAGATCTTAAGGCGTTTAATGTCCTCGTTAGTTCGCGAATTCGCCGCTTACGTTTCCATTACAATAATGTAAGGAAGGCGGATAAAGGGGCCCATTGTCAAACAAATAATTGAATTTCCTAAGCTAACACCTCATTCACTTGCACGCTTGTGGTCACATTCCGATCGTTGTCCATTACAAAGCTAATCTTATCCATATATTTGTCTAGAAAGAGTCATCTCATGCGATCGTACGCTTTCAAAAAAACACAAAGGTCACATCATGCTTGAATTATCTAGTTAGATTTAACATTCAATTCAAAAATTGTCTTGAATTCTTATGGCTTTTACGAATCTTGTCTAGGTGGAATTGATGATATCTTCCCGGAATGAAATCAATCTGTTGACGAGAGTCTTCGCCAATATCTCATAAATTACCGTTCGCAAGGTTATGAGTGATATGTCCAAATGTTTATTTTCCGATTTTATCCACGTTCTTATATAACACTATACGAATATATTGCCCTTCAAAATTCCTTGATGAACTGACGCAGTCTTGACGTCTTATCACTCTTCATCTTTATGAGGGTCTCCCTTACAATACTTATATGATTGCTCTTTTGACTCGTGTTTTTGCTAGGTCGAATTTGCTCCTTGATTTTTATCAGCTTCCCTCCAATTCGCATTCCTTACCATGTAGTTATTGATGCAGTAATCGTATGGTGGGTTGTACAGTTATTTGTTCGTGTGGTCATTTTGTCATTAAGTTTGTGTTCTTGTTATTCGAGGTTGCTGAATTTGACACTGAATTTACGTGTCCTGATGGTGTCTTTTGGCAGCTAGGTCTATGAAGCACCGCCCGAGTGGATCAAGGATTGCTCTCAGTGTTCTCTGCAACAGATTTGGGCTCGTCTCGGAGATCATGGAAAAAAACCACCACCATTTCTTATTTTTTTTCCATGCCAGGGTATCCCGGGCATCACGCCCAGGTGACCGGCCGGTCATGAAAATCTTCCTAGCTTTTTTGCCTTTTTTGCCGCTGAAACTCTCTGCCAAATGCAACAGTGCTACCCATAAAGCCTAGCATTTTTTTTTTTGCTTTTTTTTTAAGCACCCAGGACTGCCGGCTCACACACACACTCAGACCAACATACACATTCACCCACCATGACGGCCAACTTTGGAGACAAACGGAGGCAAACACAGTTGCTGTTTAATCCTGTTGTCCTCCTCTCTGCAACGTCCATAAACACAGATGCTCTTCTCACCTTTTCTTTCCCTTCCCTGGGACACCCACCTCTACAAGCATCTCGGCCAACACATTGGCTACGCGGATCCCCGCAGCCAGGAGCCAATAGCACGCCTCAAGTTGTGAATTCAAAAATTTAAAATTCTGCAAATAATTCAAAAATCACTTTTCCGACTTGTCATCACGAAGGATCCGGACTCGACCTTCGGCGGTGCAGTAAAAACGAATTGTGCACTGCTGCCAAACTGGTAGGGGTGGTGGTCTGATCTGTCCTGTGCCTAGCACGGTACCCAGCCACCACTTGTTGATTTCATTGGACGCAATGACGGTTTAATGACCCTATCCGTTTTACTTTCCCTGGAGTTCTGAACTGGGAAGCCTTGGGCCTACCAGCTCACAGCAAGGGGGAAGAAATCCATGCTTTGACCACCGGGGTTTGCCAATCATGCACAATTTGGAGAAACCTCTTTTCCAGCTCTTTACTGTTCGCCCCTAAATTATACCTTTCTCGGGCTTTCGGCTAAATATAAAGTCTTAGGAGTAGTGGTAGGAAGGTAGTAAAAGGGGAAAAAAGAATTTGAGAGAAAAACAATATAAAGCACAAATCAGCAGTACTTTTCACCAGTATTTTTTACCAGTAATTTTCACCAGTAATTTTTACCATCAGTAATTTTTACCAGCAATTTTTACCCTTCCCTTACCGAGCCTCGAAATGTGCCGTGCCACAAAAAATGCCAAAACTTGCAGTTGTATGCATGCCATGCTGCGGCAAAATGGCCACGCAAAACGTACTGGTTGTTTAGACTATGTCCTCGAATGCTTTCAGATGTGTGTTCATGAAAAGTTTTTCTTTCAGATATTCAACGGACCAGAACAGAGACTGTACACTTCATCTAAGTCAAAAGGCTGAGATAGGTACGTGTTCACGAAAAGCTATTCGCATAAAAAGTCACAAAAGCCAGACGCATGCCAATGTCCACAGGACGATGCACGAGCTTATGAATGCCATTGCGGTCAAACCCCCCAAATGAGTGGATGATCCGTTGGGGGTTATGATCCCCCGCTGTTTGATGCCAAGTTAGTTTGGGGTGAGGGAGGGGAAGGGAGGAGAGCGGAGGCAGGAGGGATAAGCGGAATGGTGTCCATAAAGGCGTTGAAGGGGGAAGATGGAGGGAAAGGGGAAGATAAATATAGAGCAGTGTCAGTAAAAGGCTAAAAGCAATAGCTTGATTTAACTAGCTTCCAGAACAGTGGTTGTGACCGGGAACGTCAACTGGGTGTCCAATCCATTAGAGGGATGGTGAATCTCCTCGGATTCAGAAACCCTAACTGATTGGACACCCAGTTGTCATCCCTGGTCCCCACCACTGTCCTGGAAGCTAGTTTAATGAACTTTAATCAAGCTATTGCCTTTTACTGACACGGTTTTGCTTATTGGATTACGACACAAACTCTTCCTTTTTTTCCTTTCGCTGCCCTTCTGTTTTTCTCATCTCTTTGACACGCGGTTAATGGAAAGCCCAAAATTTGGGGTCTTTCGCCACATCACTACAAGCAACGTCGTGGAAAATTTTGCGAACAAACTGTGCAGGCTCATAATACAAACATAAAAAAACGAAGCAGGCAAAACAAAACAAACAAAAAAAAAAACTCTATTCGGAGTAGCTTTCGGAGTTCGCCAATTTTTTTCCCGAATTCGGTGCTTTTGCCAACTTCTTCGTTACTCGTCCAAATACGCTGAAACTGAATACAGATATACCCTCAAGCACATACATATCGGACACAAAAAAAAAAACAAGAAAAAAGCAAAAATTCAGGGAAATATGGCAATTTCGGTGAAAAATTCGCCTAAAAAATAGCACCAGCTGCACCACCCATTAACCACGAGTGATCTCTTTTTTTATTGACCTCTCTTTTTTTATTGAGCTGCCAAGGTGACTTTCAAAAAGAAATGGGGCAATCAATGATTAGCTTTCCTTTTTTGTTTTGTTTTTTTTAGGTTTCCTGTTATCTTTCTGTCTTTTTCATTTTCCTGCTGAGGTGTCTTTCAAAAAGAAATGGGGCGATTAATGATAGTACCACAAAGTTTTTCAAGAAGACTGCGCCAGCACCAAGTCGACTATCGGATATTCAATACTTCAGCCACTCACTCCATAAGACCCCCTCAGAGGTAGGCCTACCCTATACTGTACCTTCTGAATTCCAGAAGTTCGTTGTGCCCTAGGCCTGCCCTGTACTGTACCTTCTGAATTCCAGAAGTTCGTTTTGCCCTTCTGAACATGTGTATATTTTGAAACGAGTACATCTGCAGAACAAGTACACTGCAGCCTGCTATTTGCAGATCATCTGTAGAACAAAACTCCACCTCTCTCACACTGCTTGGTAACCCTACAATAGAATGCGATGCGCAAAGAATACGACGCGCAAAGAATACGGTAAGAGCCTCGGCAGTGTGACAGCCGGATGATGGAGTGGAAGGGAGCACAAAAATATTGATGATGACAATGAGCACAGCAGAGCGAGAACAGCCGGATGCTTAACAAGTGCACACGAACTGTGAAGCGCTTGGGCATGACAACAAGCCCTCTTCCCGAATGCCATAGCAGAAGCAAGAAGAACTGTGTTTCACGCTGAACAAGTGGAAGAAGTGTGGAGCGCTGGGAAATGACAACACGCGCTTCTCACATGCCAAAGCAGAAGCAACAAGAACTGTGCAGAAAGCACAGAGAAGTCGAGGGAAGGAAGACAAGGACAACCAGGAACAGCTCAGGTCCAAAAAACATGACCCGTCAGACCTGGTATAAAGATGCATCAGGAATCGCAAGCAAAGCAACCCGTTTGTATAAAACCTACAGCCAGGCGAATGACTTATGTCGCTCGCTGCAAACACACACAGCATGTGCTCCTAGCTCAAGGTGTAAAGCAGAACATAAAACCCATTGCAGATTGAATGAGGGGAGCACTTGCACACAAACAGGCGCCTGGCATCGGAAGGAAAAGAAAGAAGTAGGGTGGTTGTGGGGGAGACAAGAAGATGAGCACCGGTGATCAGTGCCCTCTGCATGGGCTCTCTCCTTCCCAACGGGGAGACAACGCATTTGCTGAGGCGCCTGGCATTGGAAGGAAAAGAAAGACGTAGGCTGGGGAGACAAGAAGATGAGCAGCGGTGATTGGTGCCCTCTGCATGGGCTCTCTCCTCCCCAACGGGGAGACAACGCATTCGCTGATCAGCAACTGCTTACTACATAGCACATGCAGCATTTAAGAAAGTCAAGAAAAAGGTACAAGAAGGCAATGTCGACGTGGTTTATTTTGTTTTCCAACTTTCCCCTTGTCTTGTCATGATTCATTTTGTGCTCGTGTAGGTTCTGGGAGATAATCACAGATTCCCCCCTCCACCGGAGAGTGAAGCAGAGGATAGGCTCTGATTTGACCCATCTAGAGAGCATATGTATTGAGTCGACCAGAACAGGCGGACGGGACGGAGTACAATGAGGAACATTTGTTCTTTTGAATATACAATTCGATCCAATGAGATCCCTTTGAAATATCAAGAGAAAGTCATCAGGCCCAACATTTGACGGACGTCTGATTCCATGCGATTCTTTTCGACATTTTTTTTTTTTTTTTTTCTCATAGCAGCCCCTGTAAGGAACCGCCGACACTTCCGAAGCAAGGGCAGGAACATAGTTAACAGTGAGAAAGAAAAATCGGAGGAGCAAACAAATCACAAGCTTGTGTTCATTACTCCTCGTTTAAGAGACGGCAAAAAGAAAAAAAGAAAAAGAATCAACGGGTGTCCTAACAAACCTCCAATTGAACCTGCTCAAGTCCCAATTCAACATACATCGCCGCAACTCCATCTCGCACTCGCCTTTCCGTTAATTTGAATACACATGGCATTATGCCTGTATTCACCCGTCTTCCCTCCCTCCACGCTACTTCTTCTATCTATCCCTCCCCCTCTGCCTGCTCTCCAGCCTGCCAGCCTGCTTAACCACCTGCGCAGCCCGCCGCTTGCTAGTGCCACCTCCTCGATGGTTAAGAGTTGCACCGAGTGCCTAAAGCTTCATTCAAGGGAAGATAAACTAGTCTAATCAACTGCCCAGGGGTTGTAGTCTGTAGGATTGCAGCTCACCAATGTGTGTGACGAAATAGACTGCTCTTCGCAAAAGGACACAGTACAGCCAAATCTTGAAGAACATGGCACTGGACAGCCCCCCTAGTGTTACAGGCAGGTGTAATACTCAATCTCTTCATCGCGGAGACACTACCTCCTCCTGTCCTTGTGTTCATCGGCAGCAGCAGCAGTACCCATCTTTGTCCGAGTTTGTGCTGCAACAATTGGCTCAACAGACGTCTCCTCAGTTTCAGTAGCAAAGGGCCTCCCATCAGGGTTGGCTTCTGGTACATAGGAGTCTATGATACGGAAGCACTTATCGATGACAAAGCCATCAACGAGGCAGAAATTCCATAATTTGACCAGAAAGAACATAAAACACCTGCGCGTCATAAGGGAAGGACAGCAAGTCAGTCACACATTATCGATCAGTCAAAAACATAAAAGAATGTGTGCAGAAGAAACCAAAACAAGGAACAAAACTAGAAAGCATGTAGACGTAAAACATGAGCGAAGTAATACCTTGAAATGCCAAGCACACACAGGAGTATAGTAAAGATGCACATAAGTGCGGACAAACAACAAAACTAGCAAGGCATCGCTCACACAGGAGCATGGAAATGTGTACCAAGGAGCAGACGTGGAGACAGAAAAAGGATGATCCTAAGGACAGAACGGCGGGGGTCGGTACTTTGTAGTGTGGGTTAGAAAGCACACACGAGACAAGGATAGCTATGCCATTCACAATTGAAACTACTTCCTTCGTGAAAGGACAAAGTGAAATGAGATAAATAACTGGTGCGTGCTTTCGCACTCACCCCCAGAGGCATGCACGCACACACAGTGTCACACACGCACAGCGCACGGAAGAGTCGAGCACACGTATGCTTTCTTTCTGGAGTTGTGTATAGCGAACACGAAGGCGCGCACATGCACACACA